TAAGAAGCCCTAATAAAGGCGCAAGGTTTCTAAATCAGCTCCCTAGACCAAAGCCCCCACAACCCTCATAGTACCCTTATAGTACCCTTTAAAGGAACCCTTATAGAACCCTAATTGGGGGCTGACTAGATGTCAGGCGTCAAGGTGCAAAGCGTCGGATACGTGGGCTTTGGGGAAAACGTCCTATCAAGTCTCGTGCATTAGGGTTTAGGGTTTAGGGCACCCCTGCTTGGAAGGTCGGGGGACTTAGTAGCTAGTTATTTGAGAGACTTATCAGTACCACAACCCCAATTAGGATCCCGTTTGGGGGTACTTAAAACTCTACTTAGTACTCACTTACTAAGTCCCATACCCTCCATTCTAGAACCCCTTATAGATCCCTTTAGGGATCTCTTTACCTTAAGGAGCCCTTGAAGGAGACCTACTTACTAAGTCCCCCGACCCTCCAAGTGTTCTTTAAAGAGCCGCATTCGGAGGACCTATCATAATCGTCTTTCTGGGGGAAGGATTCTTGAATCGGTGGTCTACATTTTCGGGTGGTTTATGGTGTAGGGTTTAGGGTTTAGCTCACCATAGGGTTAGGGTCAAAAGGTGCTGTGTTAGAACTTGGTCTGGTCAAAAGCCCTGATTTTGCAGGGTTTTTCTAGCGGTTCACATCGGGGTTCCGAGTCTAACTAAGTCTCCAAGTGGCTAGTTTTTTCCTTTTTGTGGTCTTAGGTTCCTTATATATCTACCCAACATACCAAAAAGGGAGCCCCTTTTTGCCACAGCTTGCTAGGGATTCTAGCTAAGGTGCCCTTGGCTACCCGGGATCCTACCTATAGTCTCCATTCTAGTTCCTTTTTTTGGTTAACCACATTAAGGTTCGGATCCTATAGTAGAGATTTTGGTTAACCAAAAAAGGAACTACAATGGAGATTGTAGGTAGCTAAGGTGCCCTTCGTGTAGGGTTTTTCTGGCATTAAGTCATCCGGGTGTGCGGGATGATGGTTTTGAGGCTTCCAGGCAGTTGGTGGATTCCATGTGCTGCGATGGCTGCTGCAGCGGAGCGCGCAACCTTTGGGTAGAAGTCGGACAGTAACGCGTTCGAAGGGACGTGTGCTCAGTTTTTATGAAATGACGGCTTACTTCACCTTCGGTTGACTACAGTTTGTTGTCCAGGCGCCGGCTGCCACTCTAAACCCTCAACCCTAAAGCAAGCGCGGGGCCCGTCCAGAAACTCTACATGGGTGGGTGTCAAAATTAGGGTCCCTTTTTGGGTCCCTAATATACTACGGCACCCATCATTTAGGGTACCCATTTACAGCCACCCACATGTCAAGATTTGTTCGGTCAGGTGCGTCTAACAACCAGAAGCCTCCCCCCCCCAGAGGAGGTGCTGGGTAGTTCCACCGACTTCTAGACTAAACCCTAAAACCCTTAACCCCTGAACCCCTGAACCCTAAACCCCTAAACCCTGAACGCGAAACCCCCAAACCCTAAACCTAAAAACCCTAAATCGTTTTTCCTGAACCCCTAAACCCCTAAACCCTAAACCCCTGAACCCTAAACCCCTGAACCCTAAACCCTAAACCCCTAAAACCTAAACCTTGCCCCAGCCTCACCTCTGAAATCAGACTTGTGGCTTCTAGTCAGGCTGAGTGGAAGCTCCCTAAACCTTTTCGGAAACTCCCAAATCTAAACAGAACCCTGGAGCTTGATGATAATTCCTGCATACCCATATGAAGGAATATACCATAATTCCCACAGTTTAGGGTCCATAAGGTCCTAAACCCTAAACCCAAAGCTCCTAGGAGGTGCTGAAAATCTAAGGAGAACCCTACTTGGAGGTTCATGGGTGGTTGTAAGTGGGGTAAACTGTACTTATAACCCATATTAGGGGACTTATAACCCCAAGTAGAGCTTGATGATAATTCCTGCATTACCCATTTGAGGGAATATACCACAATTCCCATAGTTTAGGGTCTATTGCTTGACGGTGCTGGGGCCAAGGCTTGACGTAAGCGGGGATGACTTAGGTCTTCAGGTGAAATCCCTACACCCTAACCCCAAACTCTAACATGCTTCCAGTCGGAAAAGAGGCCGTACAAAAAAGCAACGGAACCATACAGGGGATACTTAGATAGTGAATGGGGGAACTTCAATTTTTTTGGCCTTATATACTAGCTCTATCTTAGAAAGTTTGAACTTTTTGGGGCACGGTTGTTGAAGAAGAGAGGGTAGCGTTTTATCGGTGTTTGGGGTCGGCCCGGGCGTCGGACGAGAAACGCTGATCCAGCGGTCATTGCCAAGGCAACAGTGCCTCCACCCTGTGAGCCTAAAAGTCTCTAGCTCAAGATTCCGATTCCGGGTGCAATATTTGATATGGGTAGTTGTCAAAATTAGGTACCCTTTTTGGGTACCCCAAATATTAGCTGACGTAGTGTAATAAGGACCCAAAAAGGAACCTAGTATTGACAACCACCCATATATACAGTTGATATATATATATATATATATATATATAAACATTAGGTACTGCCCCCATACAGTAAGAGTCTTTAATAGGGCTACTACTAAGGTCCTAATATATCTATATGATGAGTATTATTCAACTAGTACTGAGTGGGGGCCCTACCCAAGATATATACAGTTAAGGATTCCGAGTGCGGGTTCAGTATTTTTTGGTATATATAGTTCACTTAGGTCCCCAATGCTCAGGGGTTAGGGGTTTAGGGCTTTAGGGTCTAGTGGTTCCGGGGCTTATCTTAGATCCCCAATGCCCAACCTTTAAACTTTTCGGGTTCCTATAGTTTGGTTGGAATCGGAAAGTTTAACCTTTCACTCTGTGGCTTATTGGGGTAGTAAGTTCAGGATTACGTTCTGGTTCAGAGTTTGATCTAGGGATCTGAATTACTAGTAAGGGTGTCCGGTACCCCATTGAATCGCAACATAAACATGCGACAAAACACCCATTCCAAGCATCATTCAGGTCTGTGGGTCAGATCTCATGAATAGGTTTGATGGTTCAGGAAAGGAGGTATCGTCAGCATCCACTGTTGATGAGCTTTAGGCTCTAAGCCCTAAGACTTAAACCCGGGTCATGTTTGAGACTTTGGGAACATTTCGGCACCACAGCGAATGGCGGAGTGTACGTATTGTAGGATCTTGAAAAAAATCGCCACTGAAATCATGTCCTTTGGGTTCCTGAATTTACCACCAAAGTCCTGTTTCAAGTTCTTAATGCCCTGGTTTTTAAACCCTGAACCGTCAGCCATAAGTCATTTTTTTTTGAGCGAAAGGCTTTGAGGCTTTCCAGGTATGCAATTCGATTGCGGCTGTTTTGGTAAGCCCGGTCTTGCAGCATGGCATCTCAAGCGACAGCCCCTGTTCAAGGTGTAAATGTCTGGAGAATCAGCACGGCAGAGGGAAGTTGTGGGGTCTAGGGTTTAGGCCCCAGACCTTCCAAAACCACTTAATCAACGCAATCATATTAAGGATCCTTTGATCCTTCTATACTTTGAGGAATATTCGTTGTGGGTGCTTCAGGCCGGACACTTGTTAAGGAGCCGAGTTTAAGCTATCATAGCAGGGATCGACAGTCAGTGCTATGCTTGACTTATGTTGACCAATGCAACTAAGTTCCGCTAGGGTTTAAGGGTGTCGGCACTTGGAGGGTCAGGGGGGCTTAGTCACTAGTAACTCGTTAGTCTATTAACTTGCCAATACCATAACCCCAATTCGGGTCCCTTGTATGGTACTTGGACATCTACTTATTACCTACTTCCGTCCTAGCAGTGCAAGGGTAGGGTCGTTCCTCGAGAAATAAGTGTAGGCTTGACCCGGAGGGTGTTTGAGCTGATGCCCGAATAATTTTGAGTATCAGTATTACCCACTTGGAGGGGTCTGGGGACTGAGTAAGAGAGAAGTAGACTTACTTAAAGGGTCATGGGACTTAGTAACTAGGGTTATAATTAGGGTAACCATACTTATAATTACTTATAACCCCAATTAGGGTACTTACAACCCTACTTACTAAGTCCCATGATCCTCCAAGTATAAGTACCCTAACTGGGATCCCGAGACTGATACTTGTCAGTTTATAAAAGAGCTACTTACTGAGTCCCCCCGTCCCTTCCCCTAGGATTCGGCTGGTGTTCTAGTCATCTAGTAATCTAGTAGCCGTGTTGGGGAACTTGTTCTTCAGGTGGCAGCAAGTTAGCGGCCTTTTCGGTGCAGGGTTTAGATTTCTTTGTTTGAGGGCGAAGGGTTACTGAGTTGGCAAGTAATATCCTAAGTGCCCGAATCGTGGCTGCAAAGTAGTGCTGCACTTAAAGGGTCATGGGACTTAGCAACTCGGGTTATAACTGGGGTAACTATACGTATAATTACATATAACCCCAATTAGGTTACTTATAACCCGTCCCATGATCCTCCAAGTAGGGTTTCGACTGCTACGGTTTTCGTTGTCGTCACCCAGGGCAGCTTTGGGCCAGATGCTGAGGACGTAGGCGAGAAAGCGATGCCGGCTTTTGCTAGAAAAAGCGTTGTGAGCACCTGGGGTTCGCGTTTAGGGTTGAGGGTTCAGGGTTGAGGGTTTAGGGGTTTAGGGTTCAGGGGTTTAGGGTTAGGGGTTCAGGCTTGAGGGTTTAAGGGTTGAGGGTTTAGGGGTTTAGGGTGCAGGGGTTTAGGGTTAAGGGATTTAGGGTTTAGGGTTTGTAAGCTCAGTGAGCATCATTCAAATCCCAAATACGGAAACCTACTACAGGACCTGGCGAAGTACAAGCGTGATTTTTCCTTAGGGCGCTTCTTTTGTTACGGTATTACGTATCTAAAAGGGCTATTCAAGTTGCTACAAGGCCGTGTATTGCATCCCAACCCCGAAAGCCTGGAACCCATTAGAACCCCAAACCTTAATCCAAACCCTCAACCCTAAACCCGTTAATTTTTTTAAATTTCAACTCTAAACCCTAAACCCTAAAAACCCTAAGCCCTAAATCCAACTGTCGGGCGTCGCCGAGGTGGCCGGAGCTACCGACGGCCGCCTCTTCTGCTGGGATTGCAACATGGGACCCTGGGATCTGACAAGTAGGATGTACTTGCAGGGTCGGGCAACTCACATTCCCTAGGCCCCAGTCATGGTCTAACATGATACATCATATCCGAAACCCCTGTTCGGATTACTAAGGCCTGCACGGTATCACTAAAGCGAGTGGATGCTGTTGGGGCGCCTGAAACTCTAACTAATGGCAACTTCGGTCTCCTTACAGTTCTTTTGCGCTGAGATATCCCAAGACCCTCTTCGAATTCTTAAGGCCCCGAAGCTCTCTTCGATGTAAATTCACAGGGGGCCCGTTTGTTGTGAGACCCGACACGCGAAAGTTCTGAGGCCCAGAACCCTCTTCCCCAGGCCCGAAAGTGCAACATGACTTTTCCTAGTACCCTTATAAGATCCCTTAGAGCCCTTTAAAGGAATCCTAGTCCAATTACTAGGCCCCTATATTAATACCCAATCTAATCGTAATCATAAGCCCAATAAACCTAAAACCCTGAGCCCTCTAAGCCCCAAACCCAAAACCTAGTAGTAGAGTAGGTAACCTTAAACCTTTTTTGGGTAGTATAGCCCCTATATGCTCCCTGTGTAAAAGAAATACCCTTTAGTTCCCCATGGTACCCGACAGGTAGGGGTTTAAGGTCTAGGGTTAATATAGGGGCCTTCATAATTCGGGGTATATTATACCATAACTATAATAGGGAGCACCCAAAATCCCAGTCTAATTATTAAGGCCCCCACATTACGCTAATTCCTTCGAGGCCCGGGCTCTTTATACAAAACTGATAACCTAAGCCCTAGACGTTGGGATTTAGGGTTTAGGGTTCAGGGTTTTAGGGTTTTCTGGTTTAGGGGTTTCGGGTTAAGGGGTTCAAGGTAAAGGGATGGACAGGTTTAGGGCCGTGAGTTACGTCGGCTGTTGGGGCCTCGGTACCCTCAACGATGAAAGCATATAGCAAGCTAAATCCTTATCAAAAAGCTTACTTAAATCCTTACAGCTTAATTAGACTGCAGCCGCAGTAGGTTCTTGAAGTACCGAAAGCCCTAAACCGTGGACCCTGAATCTGAGACCCTTTTCCCTGAAAAGCAACTGCAGCCAAGGACAGAACCTGTGGCACATCGACAATGCTCACAAGGGCGGAGCTACGTCGGCCCGGGTCTCGTGATTTAGGGTTTAGGGTTTAGGGGTGTAGGGTTTAGGCGTTTCAGGTTTAGGGTTTGGGGATTTAGGGTTTGGGGGTTCAGCTGTTCTGAGGTCTAGGGGTTTAGCGGTTAGGGTACTTGGAGGGTTGGGGGACTTAGGAAGTCGTTAGGCTTATAGGTCTCATAACCCCAGTTAGGATCACTTCTAGGGTACTCAGAGCGTTGGTCACTACCTACTTGCCAAGTCCCCCGTCCCTCCACGTCGGGATAGGCGTGTTTGTCTTCCGGTGTAGCCACATCTGGTTTTGGGTTGAGGGTTTCGGGTTTGGGATTATGTTGTTTAGTGTCTTGGGGTTTAGAATTTCGGAGTGAGCTCAACTCGTGAGACCCAGATCAATCCTTCGGTGAGGCTTCTTTTCATAGGGAACTTGTGGCATCCTCGTAAAGCCTTATAGTCTTTAGATTTTAGGGCTTAGGGTTATATGAGGCCTGGGGATTATAGCTCGCCCCACCAGTCCGGATCTGCACAAACCGCCGACTGCGAAGTTTGCTTTAAGTCCCTACCCCGACCTTCTAAGCATGCCTATCATAATTATGCCAAACTATACGCCATGCTTAAGGCCCCACGCAGTTTCTTCAAGTACCCTAAACCCAAAACCCGAAGCCCAAAACCCTAAACCCTAAACCCGCAGCCTAAAAACGCTGAACCTAAGCCTTAAAGCCCAAACTAAACCCGAAACCTTCTGCCTTATGCGACTCGGTTCGTTCACTGCGCATATTACTACGTGTGAGGTAGAAACCCGAAGCCTTAAATCTCCAAAAACCCAGATCCCTAAAGGGAGCCTTAAACCTTAAACCCCCTTTGTACTGTCATTAGCGGCACCCAATCAACTCTGTATCTTCTGCGCTGGATATAGGTAGTGACAGCTGACAAAAATCCCACAACTGAAAGCAACCAACCACTGTCTGGTTCTTAGTAAGGAATGGGGGAATGTATCCCTAAGGTAGTGCCTTAAGGTCCCCCGTAGTAGTCCCAATAACCCATTCCCCCAGTCGACAGAAGTTCCAAAACTGAAATCAAACAATCAAAGGCCAGCTTTCCTAGCCCCTAAACCCTAAACCCCTATACCCTAAACCCGAAACCCTAAACCCGAAACCCTAAGTTAAGGTCAAGCTCTCCAGCAACGTTCGCTTCGTAGTCTCTGGCGGCACGGAAGGAGTCCTCACCTCAGGAGATTGCCCTAAGACTCCATGTACCCATATAGTAGGTACTTCGGCCTTGGAGGGTTCCCTATATGGGTAGTTTAAGGCCTCAGTACTTACCATATGGGAGTTTCCGAAAATTTGGGGTACCTTATTTGGCGGTCCTTATAATAAGGATCCTACTATTTAGGGTACTATAGTAGGGTCCCCTATTTTGGGAAACTCCCATATGCGTACATGGAACGCTTGGGTTGTGTATTCGTCGGGATTTCGGGATCATACTTGTAGGCCCATCGGGCTTAGTAGACGATATTAAGGCTTTGAAAGTTGTAGGATCGCATACACCGTACTTTGCGGTTTTGCAGGGTTGCAGTCTAGTGGGAATTAGTATTGTAAATCCGCTTCATTGACGTCACAGGCACCTCAGTGCTAAACCCTAAACCCAAAATCCTAAAACCCTAAAATTAACACCGAGACCCCCAAATCCAACACCCCGAACCCAAAATCCTAAACCCCTAAGACCTAAACACCGAGACCCCCAAATCCAAACCCCGAACCCAAAATCCTAAACCCCTAAGACCTAAACACCGAAACCCCTAAAATCCGAAACCCCGAAACCTCTCGAGGGCCAGGCTCCTGAGGCAGCCCTTATTCCCTTTCTTTAGGGGGTTCAGGCTCCCTTATAGCACCCTTTAAAGCAAAAAGAGCACTCTTTTTATTCCTAGGTTACGCTTAAGTTACTTACAGTAGAAGCCAAAAAGTTGGAAACCCGATAGCCTCAATCCCTAAGAGTAAAGTATATGGAATCCCAGCACTATTTGTCCTTAACTAGGTTTCCAACTCTTTGGAGTTTGCTGTAGTTTTAAAGGGTGTTTGGACCGAAACCGGTCCTGCGGGCCCTGAAGGTATTCTTAGAGGTACTTAGAAACAATTTTTTTTAATTTTTGGTTATTATAATCCCTAAGAAATAACTTTTGGTTATTATAATCCCCAAGAAACAGCTAAAAATATCAATTTTTGCTAGGGTTCTAAGTTCAGTATAGTTCTAAAATGGACAAAGGGCCCAGGCCTTGTGTGTTGCAGCCTGCCGTGCCGAGGAAATCCGCGTGTGGGAGCTGAAGACGTGCGGTGCCCAAGACCGGTATCCTACGTACCATACTTAGTTCTCCGATGCCCGACCTTTATCTGAATTTTTCTTGGATCCTTAGAGTAGTGTAGCAGCTTGAAATTGTAACCCTTGGTTTCTGTGGCTGATTGGGGCGAGTAAGCCAAGGGCTCTGAAAAACTTGTTTCTCTGTCGCCACTTAGTCCATCAACAACTGTTTGTAGTCAAAAGCCCCCATAGAGTCCGCATAACATGGTAGTCATGTGGGAGTTTCCGAGAATAGGATCGTCATGATAACAGGTACCCCTAATTTTCGGAAACTCCCATGTAGTATCGTACCCCTATCCCCTCATAAAACCCGTCTCCACGTTGGGGCCCCTCTAAATTTTAGAGTCGGAGGCACGGAGATTCAGAAATTATCGGGCTCGGTGCTTTCTCGTTTCGGGATATTACGAAGGCAGCCAAAGCTACAACTTGGCTAATGTAGACCTTGGTCACTAGCTGCCCTGATAATGGGGATCCCAAGATTGAAGCCCTTATGTGGAGGGTCGGGGGACTTAGTAAGTAGTTATGTTTGCATACTTATAAATACCATAACCCCGACTAGGATCTCTTTTCGGGTACTTGCAGGTCGACTTGTTACATACCTACTGAGTCCCCCGACCCTCCCAGTGAGGCCCTAAAAGAAAGGGCGGTGTCTGCAGACGGTTGACATAGGATGCAAACCTTACTCACCGGAGAGGGTCCAAGTATACCCTATCATAGGACCTAGGCCCTTTTTAGGTACGAAAATCCATAAACAAGGACTACCTTAAGGCTCCTGGACCCTCGTAGTGAGATCCCGGACCCTAGCCCCCAAAGCCGAAACCCTCCCCCAGAAAGCCCAAGACCCTCTTTGGAGCCTTAGGGTACTGACTACTTGGACCGTTAGGGTACGTCAAGGACCAGGGCTGTGCAGGCTCAGGTCAGAGTGCGGGTTTGGGTTTAGGGGGTTACTTGGAGGGTCGGGGGACTTAGTAACTAGATACTTTAGAGACTTATAAGTACCACAACCCCCATTAGGATCCCTTTTAGGGTACTTATAAGTCTACTTACTACCGACTTGCTAAGTCCCCCGACCCTCCAAGTAAGGGTTTCGGGTTGGGCTTCGGGTTTGGGGACTACAGTCGAAACCTAACCTCGAAACGTTCTGATGCTTAAAATAGAAGCCTAAATAACTACTAGTATTGATCCTTAGGGTTCCTTATCATAACTTTACTATAAAACAGCCCAAAACCCTATTCTAATTATTAAGGCCCCTACATTATGATCTTGTATTTGTCAGCAGAAATCAGGTTGTATGTAATTATGCAAGGTTACACGCGGGATCACCCGACTGGGTGCGTCCAAGTGTAGCCTACGGCATACAGGAGTTCTTGGACCCTACTACTAAGTTAAGGGTACGCCCGCGTAAACCCTAAGCCCTAAACCCTTAACTCCAAGCCCCAAACCCTAAGCTAGCCCTAACCTAAACCTTCACCCACCTGGTTGGTTGTCAAAATTATGGTCCCTTTTTGGGTCCTTCTTATAATACGGCACCTAATACTTGGGGTCTTCAAAAAGGGACCCTAATTTTGACAACCACCCACCTAAGAGTCCCAAACCCGTGTCGGCTTTCGGCTCAGTTGTCGAGTCCTGCGCCCCAGGCAAAGGATTAAGAATCAGCACTTCAAGGTTCAGGGTCTGACTAGGGGCCCTATAGGAACCCCCATTAAGGGAACTACTTTTTGGATCCTCCCGGAATTCTGGGTATAGGGGCCTCAAGGAATTACTGAACCGATTTGCTTGGGTTAGAGTACACTATCATCTACCCCCGGAAACCCCCCTCAACCCTTTTCTAAGTTCGAATGATGAAGGCCCCTACTTGGAGGGTCGCGGGACTTAGCAAGTCGGTAGTAAGTAGACTTATAAGTACCCTAAAAGGGATCCTAATGGGGGTTATGGTACTTATAAGTCTCTAAAATATCTAGTTACTAAGTCCGCCGACCCTCCAAGTATACCAGACGCCAATCCAGAAAGGTGGCACTCAAAGCCCTACGTCCGAAGCTCTAAGGGCCTACTTGGAGGGTCAGGGGACTTAGTAAGTAGATAGTAAATATACTTATAAGCACCATAACCCCAATTAAGATCCTTTGTAGGGTACTTATAAGTCTGCTTATTGCCTACTTGCTATGTCCCCCGACCCTCCAAGTAGGTCTAGTTTAGGTTCTACGGTTTAGGCATAACTCAGGCCAAACCTAAGCACTAACCCCGAAACCCTTACCCTTAAAGCCTAGAAAATACGTTCTGAGCTCTAAACCCAGAGCTGAACCCTAAGCCCCGGTGACCCTGAGCCCGGACATCTCACTCCCTACTTTCTGAACCCTGCGACCTGAAACCCCAAACCCTAAGCCCCAGAGCTACGAGTTCGGAGTTTAGGGCTTAGGGTTAAGGCCCGAGCTAAGCAGCTAAGGATTCAGGGAAACCCTCAAGCCTACCCGAATCGCCCCCTGCAAAAGAGAGCGAGCCCATGGCGCACAAGAACCTGCGCGGCTGCAAGAAGCCGAAGAGGGAGTCCCTCAGGCGAGTCTGACTTTTAGGGTTTAGGGTTTAGGGTTTAAGGGTTTAGGGTTTAGGGTCTAGGGTTTAAGGGTTTAGGGTTTAAGGGTTTATAGGGTTCAGGCTTTAGGGTTCAGGCTTTAGGGTTTAGGGTTTAGGTTCGGCGAGTCTGACTTTTGGAGTTTCAGGGTTGCGGGTTCTATGATCTCCAAAGCAATCGACTGTTTTCTGGTTCTTCATTATCCGTATATACAAATCCATCCAGGGTAGTGTTTTCGTGGGTTACGGTAATGGTTTATCGCATGGAAACCCTGAAATTTCGAAAGGCTCAATGACTCAATGCCCTAAGCCCTTAAATCCTGAAATCCTGGAGCCCAGACCACAAGTCCATAGAGTTTAGGGCAGAAAGGCGTAAGTCACGGGAGGGTTTAGGGTATAGGTATAGGGTTTAGGGGTTAGGGGTTAGGGGTTGGGGATTAGGGGTTAGGGTCTAGGGTTTAGGGTTTAGGGCGCGCGCTGCAGGTGGGGGTTCTGGGGCCATCAGCCATGAACTACGCAGCAAATTAGGAACCCAAGAGCTTTTAGCGAGTGCTTGTTTGCCTTGGGGTTCAGCGCTTCGCTCTCCGGTTTAATTAGGGTTTAGGGTAAGCTCGAGTTCCCACAACCTCACAGCTCCAATGCAGTCCTGCTGATCGGCTTCTGTATCGACAAGGCTAATGTAGGAACCTGATGAAGAAACCTTGGGCCTCGATAAGGGCGCCTTATGTGAATCCTACTATTTTGGGGGTTATAGGACCAGGGTTTCTTAATCAGGTTCATACATTATACCCAAAGACAGCCCCAAAACACCTCGAGCTTATCTCAGCTCTTCTTCGGGTTGGTTCTTGGCCTATGTATCACTAGGGACCTATAAACCTTAGGGTATGTAAAATGCTAGGTACAAGTTTAAGTCTTAGGGTGACTGTTAGCCCGAAGCCATTTAAACCCTAAACCCTAACCCCTAAATCCTAACCCCTAAACCCACAATGTACGCTGGCAAGGAAGCAGATCAAGAAGGAGAAAGAGAAGCCACTGGGCTGTTGCGAGGCCCAGACCCCCGGGAGGATCCAAAAAGTAGATCCCTTAATGGGGTTCCTATAAAGTACCCTGAGTAGTGTAGGGCCCCAAATTAGGGGATCTACTTTCTAGATCCTCGCGGGGTCTGGGGGTGTACTTACTCTGATTGGGTAGGTAGCCTGTGACTTTCTTGTGTGTACGTATGGGGGTTTCGCAAAACAAGGGACCCTAATATTCCTTACAGACCCCAGATAGTATGATCCTTATTGTAAGGGCCACAAGCCTTGAGCAAGAGACCCTTGATATTCAGAAACCCTCTGCCATATGCCCGCCATACTTGTAAGGTCAACCGGTCAGCCATTTTGGGGCTAGAGAACAAAGCAACTCTGCCACTCCAAGACCCTAAACCCTAAACCCTAAACCCTAAACCCTAAAGCCCCTAAACCCCAAAGCCTCTAAACCCTAAACCCCAAAGCCTCTAAACCCCTAAACTAAACCTGAGCCCTGAGACCCTAAGACCCTAAGACCCGAAGCCCTCTAAATCCCTACTTAAGGGGTCATGGGACTTAGTAACTAGGGTTCTAATTAGGGTAACTATACTTCTAACTCCTTATAACCCCAATAAGGGTACTTATAACCCTACTTACTAAGTCCCATGATCCTCCAAGTAGGCCCTAAACCCTAAACTAAACCCTAAAGATCCCTTCAAGGAGCCCCTATAGATCCCTTTAAGGGGCCCTGATCCTCCAAGTAATCCCCTGAACCCCTAAAACTGCTAGGATCCCAATCCTGGGACTCAGGTCTCATCTCCTTAGCTGGACACAGAATGGGTTCAGGGTCCGGGAGTTCGGGAGTTCAGGGTTTGGGGTTTAGGGTTTGGGAGTTTGGGGTTTAGGGTTTGGGAGTTTGGGGATTAGGGTGTGGGAGTTTGGGATAAGATTTGGGTTGAGACTTTGCAGGACCTGGGATTTGGCAGTTGAGCTGGAGCTGGCATAATCATGAAGGGTTAAGGGTTTAGGGTCTGGGACTTACGGTACGGTTGAGGGTTCGGGAAGAGCGGGTGTCTCGTTGGCTTATCTCGTTCAGGTCCTTGCCTTGTTGACAGAGACGCACTTTGCTCGTCGCGATGGACAGCTCCTGGACAGGCGGGGAACTGTCTTGCTTCTTGGTGACAAGAACCACTTGCCAGCATTCGCAGGAGAACCGGGGAGCCTCGACAGGCGGAGGTTCGTCCCTATGCGGCGAAGCCATGCGTCCGGATAGGCGGGGACCCCGCTTCATCCCTTCGGAGTGGCAGCAGCAGGGGCGACGAGCATCGTCGGCATCGTCGCGAGACTTTCGCAGGGTCTCGGCTCTCTAGCCAGACCAAGCCGACATTGTAGAGGAGAGGTACCCAGATATCCAGAGGCGATGGCTTCAGCGTTCCTGCAATTGCACATTGCCCTTGCACTGCGGCGCCAGCAGCAAGTCCAGCGCGAGCTCGATGCTTCTACTCATCTTCAACTTCCATTCCTCCGAGCTTCTGAATGCCGCGATTTGGCATCGCAGGGAGTTCCCTCGACCCTGTCTATCTAAACTTACTCCAGTCCCAATCTTAAACCTTCAAACTTACATCCAAACCGACTGACCGATTACAGCAAGCGTCTAATAATCGTCACCCAAGAAATACATACAACTACATAAAAGCCCTAAACCTCTGAACATTCGCAAGTCTATAAACCCCTCGAACCCGGAAGGCCTTAAAGCCATGGAGCCGAGACCTTCAACCCCTACAAACCCTGATCCCCTACCTCCCCTACCCTACCCTACTACCCCACCCTATACCCTATACCCTACCCTACCCTACTACTACCCTGCTAGCCTCTCCCCTACCAGCCTTTACGACCCCTCTCTTGCAGCCCTGATCTGCAAACCTGAAGCCTACCATGAGGGTCGGCAGACTTGGTAAGTAGGTTAAGGTTTAGGGTTTAGGGAGGAATTAAGTGAGATCCTAATTGGGGTCATGATACTTTTCAGTCAAAACAAGTAGCTAGATATTAAGTCCCCCACCCTCCATGTAAGACTCTGGACGCCATGATCCGCGCACTCTGAAGCCTAAGGAAGCAGCAGAAGAGAAAGCGCAAGCAAGATCCTGACATCGAAGAGCAGTGACCTCAGCCGAGTTCAGGATTTAGGGTCAGGGTTTTGGGGTTTAGGACATAGGGTTGGACTGGGGTGGGGCGTGTAGGTTTTAGGATTTCAGGTTCTAGTACCCCTAAACCCTAAACCCTAAACCCTAAACCCTAAACCCTAAACCCTAAACCTAGTCTAGGGGTCGTGGGTTTTAGAGTGTGTTGCAGAGTATTAGATCCCAGGGCTTTCGCGTTTCGGGATTTATGTTCCGACCCCTAATCCCTGAACCGCTAAACCGTGAACGATCAGGCTTCTCCATTGATTCCAACCCTTTCTTACGAGGCCTGCGAAATTAGAAAGGGTGTGCTTCGCAGGTTTTACAGGGTCTTGGTGGTATGGACTTAACTATAACTTCCTGATTAGCTAGTGGGTACATGCAGGTACTATGCAGTGGCTTGAGGGGACTGCCGGCGCAGCTGAGTTTGGGCCAAAGACGCCTGAACCCTAAATAACCTACCTTCCAAGTTTCGGAGTGTTGTTGCGGCTGCTTCCGAACACTCGATGTTTGAGACTCAAGTAGCCCTGATGCATAGTACGGTTGATGGTATAAATCCTGCATTGCCCATAATAAGGAATATATACCATAATTCCCATAGTAAGGTCATGCAGGATTTATATCCCTAAACCCTAAACCCTAAACCCCTATAGATCCCTGTAAAGGGTTCCCTTTAAAGGTACCCCTATAGATCCCTTTACAGGAACCCTAGGAATTTTATCATCAACCGTATGTTGCTTGTTGTTGTGGCTCAGAGCATCCTAAACTCCAGACCCTGAGGCCGAAGCTCGAAAACCCTGCACATAGTTTCCACACGGTTTAGGGTTTAGGGTTTAGGGTTTGGGTTTAGGGGTTTAGGGGTTTAGGGTTTAGGGGTTTAGGGTTTAGGGTTTAGGATTTAGGGTTTAGGGGTTTAGGGTTTAGGGGTTTAGGGTTTTAGGGTTTAGGGTTTAGGGTTTAGGGTTTAGGGTTTAGGGGTTTAGGGGTTTAGGATTTAGGGTTTAGGGGTTTAGGGGTTTAGGGTTTAGGGGTTTAGGGTTTAGGGGTTTAGGGTTTAGGGTTTAGGGGTTTAGGGTTCAGGGTTTATGGTTTAAGAGTTTTTTGGTTTTAAGAGTTTTTGGTTAGGATCCCATAATGCGAAGTTGGTTGGACCAACATCGCCGACAACAAGCAGGAACTGTAATGGAGACAACAGCCTGAAACCTGAACCCTAAGCGCCCTAAGCCACTAAACCCCGTAACCCTAAACCCCTACACGCCCAAACCCTAAACCGCTCCTAAACCCCTAAGCCCTAAACGCTAAACCCTGAACCCCTAAACCCCTAAACCCTAAACCCTGAACCCCTAAACCCCTAAACCCCTAAACCCTGAATCGCCCCGAAGGAATGCGAACCCTTTGGCCGGCCTACGGAAATGGCAGAAAAAGGCGAAGCTTGGGGCGGGTAGGGGGTTCGGGCTTTTTCGGTGTTAGGGGTTTGGGGCTTCGGGCGTTTAGGGTTTAGGGGGGTTGAGGGTTCAGGGTTTAATGTTTAGGGTTTAGGGTTCAGGGTTTAGGGTTCAGGGTTTAAGGTTTAGGGTTCAGGGGTAGGGGTTTGGGGCCTCGGGCTTTTCGGGTTTAGGGGTGTCGGGTTGTAGGTTGGTATAGGGCTTGGGGTTTGCGGGTGCATAGGGATCTGTACCGGTTTTGAGGGCTTTTAGGGTTATAATATAAGGGTCCACACGGAAGAAAACCCTTTCAACTGGGTTGTGAGTGTATGCTGTGTTTATGGGGGATTATACGGGCACAAATTTGGGGCATCGGGAATCTTGGAAGTAGGGCAACGAGGGCCAAGCATCGCTGCAGACAGGGTTGTTGTTCCCATCGGATCAAAATTTCGGCTCTACGTTCCGCAACCCTCTTCTGACGCTTTTCTGGAGAGCCAGCATGTCGGATTCTCGCGCACCGTCGAATGTTTCTAACCGCCGATTACGCTAATCTTTAATTTCCTCGCGTATTGGGGCTTCAAGTCACACATACTAGAAGCTAAACCCTAAACCCTAAACCCCTAAACGGTAAACCCATAGACCCCTAAACCCCTAAACCCCTAAACTTTCAACCCCCACACCCTAATCCCCGAACCCTGCACCCTAAGCCCTAAGCCCTAATCTAAAAAGCTGGTTGCAGCTCGTCAAAGGCCCTTCGCGCAGAAGAGAAAGATCAGAAGGTCCCGTCTTTCCTTTCAGGGCTTCTTTCGGGGTTCCTGCAGGGGTAAACCCTAAACCCTAAACCCTAAATGGAAACGAAGGGTGCCATTAAAGGAATCCTCAAGGGTACCCAACCTTGAAGGGTACCACCTGAAGGAACCCTCAAGGGTACCCCTAAAAAGAAACCCTTAAGGGTGGCGTTCCTGTAGGGGCTTCTTGGTTTCTCTAAGGGTTCCTACGGGTTCCTTGCAGTGTTGTTGTAACGGTTCCATTGGGGTTCGGGCTCCTTATCGGGGGTTCCTTTCAGGCTCGTTTGCAGGTTCATTGGTGTTCCTTCAAGGGTTCTTTCGGTTCTCTTACGGGTCCTTGGTCGCAAATGGGCTTCTTTCCCCAAAGGCTCCATGCACCCGTATAGTAGGTACTTAGGCTTCAAAGTAGCCATATGGGGACCCCTTTAAGGCCGATGTACCTGCTATATGGGTACATTCTTAGGGTTCAAGTTCTCTTCAAGGATTCCTAGACAGGCTCCAAGGTTTCTATTCTGGGTTCCTTGGTTCCTGTAAAGGTGTCTTTTCCCAGACTCTTGGGGTGTTTAGGGCCGCTTAGGGCTTTAATTTAGGGTTCACCCTAAGGCTCCTAAGAGGGTCTTGGGCTTTCCTGGGGGAGGGTTTCGGCTTTGGGGGCTAGGGTCCGGCATCTCACTACAAGGGTCCAGGAGCCTTCAGGCAAGGTTTTGGGGTTGAAGTGTGGGGCCAAGGAGTTTGGGATTTGGAGGATTTAGGGCGACAGGGTTCGGGGGTTGCGGCAGTTTGGTAGGTGTTCGCAGGATTACTTTGGGGGGTTTGGGGTTTTGTTCGAAGTAAGGGCGCTCAGAGGCTTGTGCCGCGAAATTTCGGTTTCTGAGTTTATGCTCAGAGGGCTGGTGAGTTTGGGCAAACTAGGGGCTTATCGGCGTTACCCAAAGGCTCCAAAGCAGTTCCTTTTTGGGTGTGTCAGGGACTCTAATATACTACCCGAAAAGGAACTACTTTGGGGCCCCTGGGTAGTGGTTCGTGTCAAGGTTTGCGGTAGGGGGCCTCGCATTTAGGGTTTGCCTTGTGGTTCACCAGAACCTCTCTCCAGATGGGTGGTTCTCAAAATTAGGGTCCCTTTTTTATAGGATCCTTAAGGGGGGGGTGGTTCAAGGGGGGAGGGTACTAGGGAGCTTTGGGGAACCCTTAGGGAAGCTTAGGGAGTATTGGGGAATAATGGGGATTACTAGGTTACCTACCCCCCTTGGACCACCCCCCCTTAAGGACATCCTAACTTTTTGCTAGGATGCCCAGTAGTACCCTTATTCCCCTTTTTGGAGTCCTTGGTTCCTTATAAAGTTACCCAATACCGAAAAGAGACGCCATTTTTTCTCTTAGATTACTGGGTATCCTAGTAAATAATAGGTGCCCTATTTATATGAAGGACCCAAAAAGGAACTCTAATTTTGACAACCACCCAGATAGAGCCGTGTGGTACAGCTCGAAGTCCAGAGAAGTAGGAAGAAGAGGAACTCGAGTGAGCAATGATGCCCAGGACCCAGAGTAGGCCCTCATTTTTTTGGGTTTAGGTTCCCTTATAAGCCCCTTTAAACCAAAAAGGGCATCCTTTTCATTCCTCAGTTACTCTGGGGTCTAGATGCAGGACACAGGTGATACTCAAAGGGTCCTGGGACTTAGTAATTAAGGTCAATTTAAAAACCAGGTAGCTATATATACGTATAGGGCACTTGTAACCTAAAACTGAACTGACTTCTTATTATAATCTGACTTACTAAGTCCCATGATCCCATGATCCTCCAAGTAGGCAGGGAAGTGGACAGAGGGGAAACCCACTGATCACATGACATCGACGCCGAGAGATTTGGGGTTGCTGTTGATCTTTACAAGGCTTTGAGCCTAAATGCGAAACCAGCAATCCCTCAGCGCTACCCATGGATGCTACACAAGTGAAACCGCAGGGTAACTATAGTTATAAGCCATATTGGGGGACTTATAACCCCACTTTTCACTACGCATAAACCTCCAAGCAGGAGGCAGCACAAGCGCGAAAGACTGCGGCGGCAGTGAAGGCGGAGCAGAAGAAGGCCATAGAAACATGGATCCCTCCCACCGCGGTCCCCTGGGTTTAGGGTTTAGGGTTTAACTTGGAGGGTCGGGGGACTTGGTAAGTGAGTATAATGGTGCCTACAAGTCTACAAAATGAAAGCTAGTTACTAAGGCCCCTAAACCCTAAACCCTAAATCGCTCGCAAGCATTTGCCTTCAGGGTCCCGGGCAGTCCATGAGGATACCTACACCTCACATGTCGGCTTGCCTTAGTTCTCTATTATTACCTGACCTTGAACCTATTGGGTAGTTGTGAAAATGAGGGTCCCTTTTTGGGTATCCTAAATAATGGGTGCCGTATTATAGTAATGAACCAAGAAGGGACCCTAATTTTGACAACCACCCTGTTTAGTGCACGAGCTTCTGCGTCCTCGGGCACCGGAGAGGCAACGTGCTACAGATGGCAGATAGACTCCACGTGTTGGGAGCACGCAGAGGGGGGAGCCGTCCAACATCTGGCCACATCTGGACAAAGACTTTCGCTGTATACTCAGCCCTCAAGCTTTAGAGCTCTAGTCCTTAACTTGCTGTCGGTTTCACAGTGCATCGAAGTACTCATGTTCAACCTTGTGGGGTTCGCCAGAGCTTCTTGAATCCCAGATCCCATGGTCAAAAGATCAACGTCTTGAGCACCTTATCCCTGAGCGATCATATGGATAGTTCTCGGGTCCCTTTTTAGGGTCCTTTTAGTTTACCTATCCTTTTTATGAGGGTGCCGTGCGATATTGGGGACCTAAAAAGGGAGCCTAATTTGCAGAACCACCCATATGATTACAAGCTGCAAATATATAGTAGAAGCCAGAAAGTTGGAACATCATTATCCCCATGGCCTTAAGGTGTAAAGTATAAGGGATCCTAGCACTAATCCTCCTAAAGCCATGTTCCAACTTTCTGGAGTTCCCTTTAAGGTAGAGATCTCAACATTAAACCCTAAACCCTAAACCCTAAACCCTAAACCCTGTTGGGGGCCCCCTTGTAGTCCTGAGACCATCTTCCTGTCTGATACACCCTCAACAGATGGGTGCTTGGAGGGTCGGGGGACTTAGTAACTGGTTATTTTAGGGACTTATAAGTACCATAACGGGGCCCTTTTAGGGACTTATAAGTCTACTTACTACCTACTTACTAAGTCCCCCGACCCTCCAAGTGGTTGTCAAAAATAGGGCCCCTTTTGGGGTACCTTAAATAATAGATGCCGTATTATAATAGGGACCCAAAACGGTACCATAATTTTGACAACCACCCATATCTCAACATCCTGTTGAACATCCTACACTCTCCTTGCTAGACTCTGCTTTTTTCTCCTAATTACTGCGTGGGAATTTCCGAAAACAGGGGAACCTAACATAGTACCCTAAATAGTAGGATCCTTATTATAAGGACCCCAACATAAACTTGGCGTTCTTCTGGTTGGCTCTTAGGACTTTAACTTTTTGGGTTCTATATGAACCATAATACGGAGGCTAAAAGTTTAACTTTTCGGAGGGGTTGAGAAGTCAGCCAAGCAAAGTACCCCAAATTTTCGGAAGCTCCCACGTAAGTCCCCCGGCCCTCCCAAGCAGGTTCCGCCGCCTCTCGAAGATGCTGCGCCCAGCGAGGGTGCGAAGACACCGGCTGCAAAGAAGGAGCGACTTCGGTCACCCAGGGCAGGGGCGTACTTCCCTCGGGTTAGTAGGGAATGGAAGAATGGCAGTAATGGTAGTTCTAATTGTCAAACTTGGGTAACCTTTTACATTCTTATGGGTACTTAAAACCCAATAAGGAATAGACATGTAAGTTTTTAACCCCATCCCAACCATGAACTACGGTTGATGATACAAATCCTGCATGACCCATAATAAGGTTATACCATAATTCCCACAGTCTAAAGTCCTCAAGGTAATGCAGGGCTTGTATCATCAACCGTAGGATCGACTTCAGGCACCCAGGGCGGGGGTTCAGGCTTTACATATGTGTGGGCTTCCGAAAACAGGGGACCCTAACATCGTGCCCTCAATAGTAGGATCCTTGTTAAAAGGACCCCCCTATTTTCGGAAACTCCCACATATGTTTTGCCTGGTTTCAGGTTTAGGGGCTATATAATGTGGTTTCGGTTACGTATATGATTTCAGGTTTGGGGTCAGGGTGAACTTTGGTCACTGAGGGCGGGGGTATGGGTTTACATGGTTTCAGGTTTAGGGCTTCTGGGGCTTAAGGTTTAGGGTTTACACGTTTTATATTGTTTGTATGGTTTACGCTGTAGTAGGGTGTAGTGTCTATAGGGCTGACGGTTTAGTGTTGATATGGTGTGTGGTTTAGGGTTTAGGGTTTAGGGTGATATGGGGCTTTTGTTAACGAACTTGTTCTTCAGTTTCCCGGTTCGGGTTTATGTAGCTAGCAAGCGTCTCTCCGAGTTCAGAGCCAATGAGGATGCTCGTGCGATTCTAAGAGGGTCAGTTGATCAGAGTTCTGATGGAGACGAAAACCTCCACGCGTGGAGCCATGCCACTTCTAGTTCGTCCTGTCAGGCTTGCCAGGAGAGGGGCAATGTTAACCTTGATGGGTTTTAATGCTTAGATCCCCAATGCCCAACCATTAAACTTTTCGATTTCTTATAGTTTAGTAGGAATCGGAAAGTTTAACCTTTCAATTTTTGTGGCTTATTGGGGTAGTTACAATGGGGATCCGAAGTTAAAGACACTTCCTCGACATGGATGGGGCGCAATTAATTAGGGTTTAGGCTTAGAGAGTTTCAGCTTTAGGTTAGAACCCTAAACCGAGTAAAATCCCAAAGCGGAGCAAACTCCCCAAGAATTTTTTAAATGCTAAAGCTTGAAAACTGAGAAAAGCACTGACCTCCAACAGCCGACAAAAACGCCATACTGGTTTAGGGGTTTAGGGGCTTAGGGTTTAGGTTTAGGGGTTTAGGGGTTTGGGGTTTAGGGGTTTAGGGTTTAGGGCTTTAGGGTTTAGGTGTTAGGGTTTCAAACGTGCAGGAGCTTCGCATGCGCAATGCGCAGCTCCGTCAAAACCGGAAGCTCTATGAGGAAAGCCCGACGAGCTTGCATCACAGGGCTTTAGAGTTGGGTCAGGGTTCTCCTGTATCCCAACGTCTTGAAGCATGGGTGTGGGGCAGTTGTACGTAGAGGGTAGTATGTCGGACATATGTCTGACAGGGAGGTTTCGTGGACTCTACTAACGACAGAGCCGATTTAGGGTGGTCGCCGTCGTTCTTTTTTTTCGTGTTTCGGGTTTTGGGGGCTATTAGGGTTTAGAGTTCGGGCGGCTTTGTATTGTGGCTTCAGGGCTTACTTGGAGTGTCGGGGACTTAGTAAGTATATAGGTGATGAATAGACTAAGAAGTTCCCTAAAAGGGGGCCTGATTGGGGTTTTGATGCTTATACGTCTATTAGAATAACCGACTACTATCCAAGTCGGCTAAGGCCCTAAACCCTAAACCCTAAACCCCAAGCCATGAAGCATACTTGATCCGTCCACCCCGGAGATCAGCTTATCACCTTTTTAGAAGAATCTAAGAATCTCATCTCCCTTGTACTTAGGGTCTAGAAGTTGAGGGTTTAGGGGTTTCGGGGTTTAGGAGTTTAGGGTTTAGGGGTTTAGGGTTTAGGAGTTTAGGGTTTAGGAGTTTACGGTTCAGGTAAGGGGTTTACGACCACTGTAGCTGGGCTAGGATATTCTTGCTGTACTTCAATAGCGCTTTAATCACAGCAGAACACCCACTCACCCACTCAGAGAATCCCAACACATTTAATGTTTTGGACCAGCTCAGAATAATTACAGCCACAGACTCGCCTTTAAACCCTAATGGTGATGCAGCCCCAGAATCAGCCCTAAACCCTATGATACAGCTAAACTGGTTACACTTCGATATGGCCATTTGCCCAGGCGCACGCAGGGTGCAGGTTTGCCCATGCCGCATAAGAGTGCCGGTTCAGATGGCCTGTGCCCAATAAGTGGGCGGTCCAGCTTACCTATGCCGAATAAGGGCTGAAGGTTTAAGTAATTATATAGGAAAGAGAAGTTTCGGTTTGGGGGCTTTACATATTGAGAATTTGGGGTTTGGGGTCCATGCTGTGGTGCGCAGACAAGCCCTCGTCTAAGAACTGCATGGGGCGAAGCCCTCCGTCGGCCCTAACCATAGGCCCCCCGAGCCAAAAACCTGCCATGTAGCTCGATCCCCAAACCCTAAACCCGAAACCCCTAAACCCTAAACCCGAAAAGGGGTCCCTAATGTTTTTTGAGTAAACCATGCCTCCATCCACAAGTTGCCTTAAACGCGAAACTCCGCTTTGAGGAGCCAGGCCGAATCCTGCTGGTGGGCGAAGGCGGCCCAACTGAGATGCACAAAGTTTGATTCGAAAGCGGTTCAGGGGGTTTAGGGGGTTTAGGAGTTTAGGCTTAGTAGCTGAGTAGCTGCAACCTTTTTGGGCGGGGGTACTCACCCCCTAAGTAGGGGCTTGGCGTTTCATACGGATGTTTTCACAGGCTCTTACCATGCTCTATAGGAGCTGATATAAGGAGTCGTTTTACAAGGAAGGGCAATCTTTGGTCCACTGTATCGTAGGAACCTGATCAAGAAACCCTAGCCCAATAACCCCAAAGTATTGGGTTGTCCTAATATTTAGGACTCATACAAAGAACGCTTATTAAAGTGGATCGTGGGCGAGCGAGCTGGGTGGCTTGAGGCTTACGGCGTTAGGGCTTAAGGTTCAGGGTTCAGGGTAAGTAGGTAGACGGGCATCAGGGGGTTTTACGAGGGGTGTTTTCAGGGCTTTTTGGCAGGGGTTTTGCGAGGGTTTCCCATGGGGTCCATGACGACCGGCAAGATCAGAAGAAACTTAGCAGCTAGGATGCCCAGTAGTGCCCTTATTCCCTTTTTTTAGTCCTAGGTTCCTTATAAAGTTACCCAAGACCAAAAAGAGAGGCCTTTTTATTCTTAGGTTACTGGGTATCCTAGTTAGTGTGGTACATCGCCAACAGAATGCACCGGGACAGCATGGAGCTGAACACAGTTCAGGGTGCCCTTCGACTGCCACGCCAGCTAACGAATTTGGAATCACGAAGGTTGCTTGCTCTCGTCACGACCCTTTGCCGCGGAAAGCGTGACGCGTGACCTCCATCGTGACCTGTGCCTCATAACTTTGGCTTCATTCCCGAGAGGGATTCTTACGAAGAGCTGGACGCCCGATGCTGTTAGGAAGTTAAATGAAATGAACTCATGCGGAATGCCGATCTCAAGCGCTGCCTCCTGGGACTGAGCCACAGCGACACCTACGCGACTCTGTGCTGTCGGTGGCATATAAATTACATTGCATGGAGGTTCTTCCGGGGGGTGATACGAAAAGGACCATGCATTGCCATAATCCGTAAACCCGAAAGTGCCGTGAAGCCCGCAGACATTAAGCTAGCCAGGCTGACAACCACAGAAAGATTCACTTATAGTACCGAAAAAGGTGCCCCTTCTCCCAGATCGTGTGCTCTCGCAGAAAATCATGAAATATGGAGAACACGTGAGGGCAAGACGAGGGTTACTTTGCAACAGGATGGGTAGTTGATATTTCTATGGCATGCCCTGCCAAAGCATGAGACAGCTGTTGAGCATTCCCGGAAGAAGCAATCGCTGCGGTGTAGCATTTCCCATGCTGCTCATGTAAGGTTCTGTCGTGGGGTTAGTTATTGGGATTGCCTATGCTGCCGGGCCAGGGAAGGTAGGGCACAGCTCGGTGAAGCGGCGATTTCTGCATTTTGTCAAGCGGCAGCCGCACAGCTGTAGATCTGTACCAGAACCAAGCACAGAATCCACTCAGCCCTGAACCCTAAACCAAGCCCAAGTGTCCACCCGAAGCAGCAGCCAAAATGCCATGCTGCCAGGAACTTTAGCAGTGTTTGGGTTCTATGATCCTGCCATAGCCAAACCCCAAAGCCTAAACCCTGGAGCCTAGGCCAAACCCTTCCTAGAAGGCTCATACCCTGGGCGCCTACTTTTTAAGATAACAGATCCTATCCATAAAACTAGGTATCCTGAAAAAGGGGTAGGGTATGAGCCTCTAGGTTAAACACAAAGCAAAACCCTAAACCCCAAGTTCTACTCCTCCCCGAGCCCTAGGCTCCTAAGCCCGAAACCCTAAACGTTGTAGCCTTTCATACAGGGCCAAATAATTATGAAAAGTATAGTATCATGGGCCCCAAAACCCTATTCCGATTCTTCAGCCCCTATATTAGCCTTCTTGGAAGCCCGGAAAGGTAACTTCAGCTTCGGCAGAGCACTCTGCCAAGTCCGAGGGTCAGGTGGGAAACATGAAGGGGCTCATTGGGTTCTGTAACCTTAAGGGTCCAAAGGACCCAGTAATTTGGTATTCGGTTTTAGGATAGTTATTTTGGTTAGGATTTTGGAAGGTATATGATTATCAGGTACTTGGACTATTATGGGGATGAATGCAGGGTGTGTTAAGTTAGGTTTTTGGAAGCATTTAATGTTTAGGGATAGGATGTAGGGGTTCGGGGGGATTGGAGTTATGAGGTTTCGGGATTTTCTGAGGGTGCTCGAGCTGTAATACGGTCGATGATATACATCCTGCATACCCAAAAATCAGGAATATACCATAATTTCCATAGTTTAGGGTCCTTCAGGTAACGCAGGGTTTATATCCCTAAACCCTAAACCCTATAGATCCCTTAGAAGAACCCCTTAAAGGTAACCTTATAGATCCCTTTAAAGGAACCCCAGGATTCATATCATCAGCAGCAGGATCTTGCATTTTGGCTATTTGGATGCCGGTGCCTGTGCCACCACTTCAGATTTCAGACGTTCGGTGTGAAGCTGCTTCGAAGTTGCGCGATGAAGCCGCTGCCTGTCCCTAAGGGTCCATGTACCCATATAGCGTATACTTTGGGCCCAATGTACCTGTATAGGAAGTACTTTAAGGCCAATGTATATACTATATGAGTACATGGACCCTTAAGGGTTTTACCACTGTCCGGCATCTCAGATGCGCACAGAGGCGTTGATTCGCAACTTCTCGACACTGCATGCGGCTGCGTCTCGGAAAATTGTCACCGGAGGTTGCCGAATCCTGTGTTGAGGGTGTCCTTAAACATATTTTCAAAGTCTAGTATAGTCTAACAGCAAATTATCTCTTTTGGGTTTAGTGGTTGTGGTTGCATATCTACGCAGGAATGGGTCGTTCATGGGTTTTAGGCCAGGTGTTGTACCCTAAGTCCTAAGCTCTCCAACAGTTATTTAATTATATAGGTAGTTCTCTAACTTGCGGCCCGTAACCCTAAACCCTAAACCGTTTACTAAACCCTAAACCCTGTACCCTAGACCCTAAACCCCAAACCCTGAACCCTAAACTTTACCCTAAACCTTAAACCCTGAACCTTAAACCCTAAACCCCGCCAACTTGCAGTCTCTTTGAGGGTCAACTCCATAAGGGTGCCGCCATCTTTTGGGTTCCTATAAGAGATCCCAAGCTAGAGAACTACCGCACTGCCCATACTTGGAGGGTCAGGGGACTTAGTAAGTAGGTAGTAAGTAGACTTATAAGTACCCTTAACGAGACCCTAATTTGCGTTATGGTACTTAGAAGTCTACAGAATAACTACTTACTAAGTCCCCCTCCGCTACGTCGGGGGGCGTTATGAGCGCTGCCATGAACAATCCAGAAACGAGACCTGCCCTAAAGCCTTCATCCCTAAACCAACCCCCAACCCATAGAAGCCCTAAGCCTTAAACCCTTACGCCCTAATCCCCAAACCCTAAACCTCAAGCCCCAAAGCCCAAACCCTAACACTCTAAATCCTTAAATCCTCAACCTCAAACCCAAAGCCTAAGCCCTAAACCCGAAAAGCCCCAGACGAACACCCAGAAGTAAGCACCAACCCCTAAAACTTTAATCCTTAAACGCTAAACCTCAAGCCCCTAAACCCCAAACCCTAAACCCCCAAAGCCCCACATAGAGGGTCGGGGGATTTAGCAAGTAGGCAATAAGTAGAGTTGCAGTGTACCCTAAGACGGATCCTAATTGGGATGATGGTACTTATGAGTTCCTAAGCTAACTAAATACTAAGTGCCCCGACCCCTCAACCCAGAAGTCGTCAGTGCAGGCGAGGGAATCTACGCCACCGCCTTCGATGGCGAAGCCTCGCTTAAGAGGACATTCCGGGGAGCCTTCGGTTGTAAACTTCAGGGCTTCTGGGTTTAGGGCTTAGGGGGTTTAGGGTTAGGGTTTAGGGTTTTAGGGTTTAGGGTTTGGGGTTTGGGGTTTTAGGGTTTAGGGTTTAGGACTTAGGACTTAAGGATCGGAGGTTGGGATTTAGGGCATGGTGTTTGGGGCTTGAAGTTCAGGGTTCAGGGCTTTGAGCGCCAGCAGGGCTGGCAAGTCAGGTTGCCACGCATTGAAAACGTTCCTTGCGCAGTCAAGACAGGGAGACAGAGATAGAGAGAGCGAGAGAGAGAGAGAGAGAGAGAGCGAGAGCGAGAGCGAGAGAGAGAGAGAGAGAGAGAGAGATAGCGAGAGCGAGAGAGAGAGAGCGAGAGCGAGAGCGAGAGAAGAGAGCGAGAGAAGAGAGAGAAGGACAACACATGAGACATCTGTCGGAAGACCCTGGCCCCTAAACTCAAGCCCAGCGCCCAAAACCCAAAGTCCCAAACACAGCTACGCGTAGATTTCACAGATGGGAGTTTTCGAAAATAGGGGACCATTAATATAGTGCTTTAAATAGTAGGATCCTTACCATAAGAGCCTCAAAAGAAGCCACCCCTCACTTTTCGGAAACTCTAAACCCTAAACCCTTTATAGAACCCTTATAGATCCCTTTCGTTACGATAAGAGCCTGAAAACAGGCCACCCCTCATTTTCGGAAACGCCCCCAGACCTTGGCAAGCCAGGCTCCAGTCTATTTCAGCCTGAGGCCCGAAGGTTCTGAAGCACACAATACCTTAACCCTGAAGAACCTACCTTGTTAGGGTTCCCTAGTATGATTTCCTTATATGAGTCCTTAAAATGGTAGGTTCCTCAGGGTTAAGGTAATTGAGTCACCCTTAGGGAGGTCCCAAACTAGAAAGCTTGATCCATACAGCTGGGCCATGAGGGGTTCTTGAAGGGTGCTAGGGTTTAGGGTTCTATTGTGGTCCAATACGGCTTGTGGGTGAATGCGTCATTGTTAGTCTATTCCCCTTGGTCGGGTGTCTCAAATTACAAAACTTATGGTACAATGTACCCCGAAACCTATCATTAAAAGTGTCGAGGTCCCTCTATCAGCTAAAATCCAATCCCTAGACCGCGATGGAGATTGTGATTTTGCGCCTAGGCTTCAGGGCATCATGTCATCGTGCTAGTTTCTGCCCAGCATTTGACGGGGGGAATATGTTCTCTTGCTCGCAAAATCGGTAAGGGACATGAGTTTTCGTCTGATTGCCCTGAATCTGACTGCTATTGCAACTGCCATTGCGCATTCTACTTCCCGTTCTTCTGCTGCCAGTGCCAATCACTGTGGTCGTTCAGCGGCCCATACCCAGACTATAAAAGCATTTTGTGTTGCATGGGTGCCCTGCTCAAGACGAACTATTCAAGTTTGCCGCAGGAAGTATGCAGATGCCCCACAGATGCGACAAGAAATCGAGGAGGACTTCGGCTAATCTAGGATTTGCCTAGACCCTGAGCTCTAAATCCTTACCCGCCCCCCTCGCCTCACCCAAAATGTGTATGTACACATACTAGGAAGGAATACCTAGGTGTAGTGGTTGGGTTTTTGGGCCTAGAACGTGCGGCTCGAGAATTGGTCATTTGTTTTTTATTGTTGGGGTTTCGTGGGATCATGGCTTGCACTATATGGTTGGTTGCCAAATGTGCGGTCCCGTTTTGACATTTTCCTCACTGAGTGTGGTCGATTGTGGCTGTTGTAGTGGAATGATCACCGTCATTAGGGAATGAGTGGAATCTAAACCCTCAATCCCAAAGGGAAGTGTTTCAAGCCAGCAAAACCAGGCTGTTCAGTCGTACACTTTTTTCCTTAGGTTTCTGGGTTCCTATTTTAAAATAAGAAGCCTAAACAAGTATAGTATATACTTTTCCCAGTGGGTTACTGAACAGCCTAGACAAGCAATCACAAACAACTTGAACTGCTGAATCCTGCAGGCTACGAGACTCCCAAACCCATTTCTTAAGGAACATCCCCCAAATCATACGTAATGGTTTCGGGTCTACTAACTCTAAACCCTAAACCGTCACTCAAGGGGTTTCGAGAGTCTCCGGGTTCACTCCAAGAAAACCCGAAGCCCACTTCCACAGGCTGGCGGCACCACTCTGGTTGGTGTTGACGCGACGCGGATTCACAAAGTGATGCTTGGCTTTCGTAACCCTAAACCCTAAACCCTAAACCCTAAACCGAGTTCGGGGCTTCAGGGTTTAAGGCTTTTAGGTGGCTTGGTTGGCTTTGGTGGAGCTTCTTAGGGTTTCGGGTTTTGGATGTGTTGCTGTGGTTTTAGGCTGGCAGGGTTGTTTTTTTTGGGGTCTAGGGTTTAGGGTTTAGGGTTTAGGGGTCTAGGGGTTAGGGTTCGGGGTTAGGTAAGGATTTGCGGAGTCTCGGGTTCCCGATCCATCGCGGTTTCGGGTGGTAGGATGAAGGGGGGGCTTACGGTAGGGCTTAGTCCACTCCTTCAGAGGCAGTTTTTTCCGTAGGGGGTCACAAGTTCCTTTCTTAGATCCCCAATGCCTAACCTTTAAACTTTTGGGGTTCTTACAGTCTAGTAGTAATCGGAAAGTTCAATCTTTTATTGTTGTGGTTTTTGGGGGAGTAAGCTTTTCATGGGTTCGACGTTACAACTTTCTTTCATGCAACGCGAAGCATCCATGCCCTGCGACCTAAACCTTAGATTTCCTAAGTGAAAGCCTTATAAGGCTCAACATCTAAGTGGGCAAGTTGGAATCGTGGCTGTGAAGTTTTTGAGAGTTTTGAGCGTCTGAGTACATGAGTTGCGATGTCGCGGCTAATCGCAAACCGGCGTTGTTCTGCACCTTCACGCTGCACATGCAGAAATCTACACATAATGATGCTGGTCTGATGTTAGGCTTACATGTTCCGGTTTCCAACAGATTCCTTACTCAAAATGTCTTGTGAGTCTCTTAGCAGCAATCGAAGCTTGATCCTCGATTTTGGATCCCAATAAACCCTAAACCCTCTAAACTGTTTGGGGCTTAGCCAGGACTTCAACACCTCACCTCTAGAGATTTCCCGTGGGTTCTCAGTATACCCCCATTGGAATTCGCTTTGCTTGTTAACAAGTTTTATGCTTAGGATGACGCAATATAAAGTTGGGTAAGCCAATACAAAGGAAACCACAATGGAGACTGTAGGTAGACTCTCCTGGGTTAGCTGGCAAAAAGGGGTTCGAAGAGTCATGATCTAAGCCAGCTATGCTAGAAGCCATGCGCCCTAAATCTTGAACCCCGAACCCCCAAATTCTTTTTACCCTTACCCCTAAACTCCCAAACCCCCACACCCTAAAACCCGTAAGCCCTACACCCTGTACCCTAGGGTTATAAGTACCCTAATTGGGGTTATAAGTAATGATAAGTATAGTTACCCACATTATAACCCTATTACTAAGCCCCATGACCTTTTAAGTACCCGAAGTCGTCTTCCATCGTGAACCCCAGATTTCACACTTCGGCCTGCACATCTCAGGAAGGAGTTTCGCGAAGCCTTCAGGACAGGTCTGCATGTATCCTTAGGGGGTTACCCAGACACTCCAAAATTCCTTAATTAAGGAATATACTTTAAATCATATTAGTGTCCCAGTTATAGTTTAAGGTATATTCCTTAACTAAGGGATTTTGGAGTTTCTGGGTAGGGATTTTGGGGTTTAGGGGACTGGTAAGTAGGTAACAAATGGAGATATAACCTACTTGGAGGGTCGGGGTACTTAGTTTAGGGCTTGAGGGCTTCAGGGCATTAGGGTTTAGGGCGCATGTATCCTATGAGTCCGAAGCATTCGCGGCCACGTGGGAGTTTCCGAAAATTAAGTGAACCTTCGGGCTCCTGTAGAGCATTCCTTAAACAGACCCATAAGGGTTCTATAAAGGGTTTAGGGTTCCCGAAAATTAGGGGTACCTTAGTTTGGGATTCTTATTATAAGGATCCTACTGTTTAGAGTGCTATATTAGGGTCCCCTACTTTTCGGAAACTTCCATATCCTTTCATAGTTGCTATATATGACTCTATTTAGCGGAGCCCTGAACTCGACACCTGAACTGCATTCTTTGTGGATTATGACTTTGTCAACTGCTGAGCTATTACAGTAACCCCAAGCCCGGAACCAAACTCCCGACAGGATAGTTGTGTGGAACTTTCCACACATGGGCGCCGGAGAGAAGGATGTGGAGAAGAGCATCGAGAAGCATCGAGTCTTTGACTCAACTTCGGCTTGCAATGTAGCTATAATAAGGGCCTTAATATTTAGAATAGGGTTTTTTTGGGGGGGGGCCATTATACTATACTTATAAAAAGAAACCCCAAGATAGTACAGGTGATTAGGTAGTTAGGCCACTATATTAGCTACACAAAACATGAGAGTTTGGGTTTCCCATAGCTCACCCGAAGCCAACCTGGCGAGAAGCCTCACGGTCCTCACAAGCAGGGGGCTCCCTGCAGCCCCAGAAATCTACAAAAGAGTGAGGAGTAGGGCATGACCCCTTGACAGCGTATTAAATATAGGAGCCAGGATAGTTATCAACACTATTTTTAGGGGTTCCTTCTCATAATTATAGTATCATGGGCCCCAAAACTCTATTGAAATACTGAAGGCCCCTAAATTTCAGCACTTAAAACAGGAGTTGTGTTGGAAATCCAGGGTGTTCAAAATGCAGGAGTTTACTGTGTACAGTGTTGTTGCGTGGTTTTCAGGATTTCTGAAAGCTTTCTAGGGCATACCACTTGGAGGGTCCGGGGACCTAGTAAGTAGAACTACCCTCGCAGGGCCTCCTCATCGGGGTTATGATGCTTATAAGCCTTTAAATATGACTACTTTTTGCGTCCCCCGACACATCAAGTACCCTGAACCCAAAACCCTTGAACCCTACACCCTAAGCCCTAAGCCCTTAGCCCTAAACCCTAAGCCCTAAGCCCTAAGCCCTAAACCCAATCCCCTAAAGAAGGGCTGCCGGGCTTTGGTAAGGAGCTTCCGGACTTTTGATTTTTGGAGTAGCAAGGCTTCATGCGGCTGATGATATAAATCCTGCATTACCTTAAGGACTCTACACTATGGGAATTATGGTATGTTCCTTTTTGTGGGTCATGCAGGGTTTATATCATCAACCGTGACTCCGGACCCTAAACTTCGACAGTACGCTCAAACCTAAATCCTGAACGGGTTAGGCAGGGTCTAGGCTAATCCTTTCCTCGATGAGGGGGACTTGCGCGGGATAGCGCATGCCGCAGTGCATCTGCATCTGCAACCTCCACTTGAAGAACAATCCGTCACGCATGTTGATAGGCTTTCAACTTCTTGCGGGTGTTGGGCGCTTTAGGTAGGGGTTTAGGATTCTGGCAGGGTTCAGGGTTTCGGGTTTAGGGTCTCTGCTGTCCGTTATTATCAGCAACTTAAGGGTTAATTATAGGTTACCTACTCTGCTACTGCGAAGTACAAGGCTGGGTGAGCGCTCTAGGTTGTGCATCTTTGGGTTTGCGGTTGAGGGTTTAGGGTTGAAGGTTTAGGGTTTAGGGTTCAGGTTTTAGGATTTAGAGTTGAGGGGAGTTTAGAGATGTCCGGCTCTGACCCTTAGGGTTTGGGGTTTCCGATTTAGGGTTGAGGCTTTGGGGCTCTGGGTCTGGGGTTTCGACCCGCCCACAAAGAGCCTATAGCACGAAACCCGGGAACCCAACTGTTGGTCTATAGCCACACACCGGAAAGCCACAAAGCACTTGAACACCCATGAAACCCTCGAGCCCTCAAGCCCAAACCCCAAAAAAGCACTACCCTTTAGCCCGAAAGCCGTGAAGCCCACGACCGAAACCATGAAGCCCTAAAACCCCAAAGCCTACAACAGGTTTTCTCTTGAAGGCTTAGGCTTCTGAGGGAAAAAGGTGTTCAACAGAAACGCCCAAACATATATAGGAGCCTTAATATTTACCTATACCATTTGGGGGGTTCCTTAGTATAGTTACGGTACAACGGGCCCCAAAGCCCTAGTCTAAGTATTGAGGCCCCTATGATACATCGCAAACAATAAACCCCGAAACCCTAAAGCCCTAAACCGTCAATCCTACACCCCCACTATAGATGCCCTTAGGGAACCCTTATGGATCCCTTTAAATACATCGCAAAGCCAAGGACAGCTCCTGGCCGAGTTCTTTGCCTCGGCCGTGCGCTGTCTGGACTCCTCGCCGAGTGCTGCGATTCACGTGGCACTGAAGCACCTGAGCCGGCTTCATATACAGGGGTTTAAGTCTTGGGGGTTTCCGGTTTGGGGTTTAGGGGTTTAGGGTTTAATTAGGGGTTTAGGGTTTAGGGGTCTAGGGTTTAGGGTCTACTCGGAGGGAGTAAGTCTTCAGACCAAAAGTGCGTTGAAGCTTTCGGAGGGCGGAAGTCATGGCGAGTGAGTGCTATTTAGGCCTTCAGGCTTCGTACTTGGAGGGGGA